CCCATGCTGGTTACGGTCTTGTCATCCCGACATGTTTCAAGATGCCTGGTGGTGGGTGGTCTGTGAAGTGTGATTCTGCGCGTAAATGGCACGCACCCGACACGAACGTCTGAGGGGTTTTGCCACACCCAAGACACGGTTGAAAGCATCCGCTATGATAATGGTGGTGATGATGGGATGGAACAAAAAAATAAAAAAGGACGAACCTTGGAAACGTGCATCCAGACGGGAAGCACTGGCCGATGGGCGGGGTATTTTAGTGGTAAGCAAGTATTGCAGCCGGCCTCATTATCCGTGGGACACGAGACGGTGATCCAGTGGGAATATGCCGATTGCAACAGATAGGCGTTGCTATTCACGCTTGTTGCTACGGAAGAGCGGGTAGTGCTTATTGAAACATGCAGCATGCTATCTACTGGGCGTTTCCAGGGACAATGGAAAAGTTTGCTCGGTCGTGCCAATATGCACAGATGTTCTGACAAGTGCATGCGGTGTCCAGGTAACGCTCTTTAAGCGATGAAGCTGAAGGCCCGGGAGGCTTTCATGACGAATCATCTGCAGCTCGGCGGCAGGACTGCAGACGTCGGTCCCTCGTTGCTGGGGAGAATGGCGAGCCCGTTTTTTTTTCACCCCGACACCACCAGCGAAAAAAAAAAGATCCGCTTCTTGGAGACAAAGGCAGAAGAAATTTGCAGGTGGTGGTGATGCTGGGAGTGAAGATCGGCCCACTTGAGGCAAGTACCGTGCCGTAAGTAAAGATTGTCCGACCGAGGCAGCGCTGAGAAAGGGCACGGAGTAAGATGGAAAAAAAAATAGACTGGATCCTTCAAGTCGCGTGCGCACAGTCAAGTACTTTAAGACGCGTTCAGTTCGCGACTTGTGACATAATGTTTGCGTCTCGGGCGTGCTCTTAGGTGCAGCAGTGGCTGGCTACTAGCTGCAGCAAGGCGATGGGGACAAGACGTGTTAGGGGCGTGAATGCGGAGTAAATCGCGTCGACGCACACGTGCTATTTTCTTTTCTCAGATGATGAAGGCGAAATGGCAAGATGGCGCTAATGCTAAGATGCTTGATTGTGCGATGATGTGCCCAGCCGCGGTTCAATATCCGAAGCCGGACCAGCTGATGGAGTCGGGGAAATGATTATTGTATGTACAGGGAATTGGATAGTATGTATGGAGCAGAGGAGCAGATACGTGTGTATGATGCAGTAGCAGTGGTGGTAGTCATGGGGCATCATTGCAGACAGAGGGCTTGGAATGTAGTAAGCATGACGGGTAGAAGTACGCAATCGTGGATGACGGCGGTATGAAGATGTGCAGGTCATCCAAGGCAGATGTGGAGGAGGTGCTAGTGTGGTGGGTTGTAGGGCCGAGTGGTGCTAGTAAGCCTGCAGGAACTCGACGCCATTTGACACTTTGTGATGCAGCCGAGCAGAGCTTGCACTTCGCCTAATGTGAGGAGCCGTGGCCCGCATGTTGTGTTAGTCGCGAGACTATGATATGCAAGTATTTACCTTCCGCATTTAGGGCATCGACATTTGAGTCCTTGCTTGTTGGAGATGGTGAGTACGTAGGGAAGTAAGTCGAGGGCAGAATGCTACTTGGTTGGTTACTTAGTTAGCCAGGCGCCCAGCCTGACAAGGCTAGGAGGCGAGGGGATGGGGAGGGGCTGCATGCGGCGCCTTGTGGTCTTTGTGTGTAATGGCGGACCGTATAATAAGGCAGGTTGTTAAGTATGTCAGGTCAGGTCAGTGAATGGATTCCGTCCGCGGTGATGGTGTATGATGTTGAGCAAGGGGACGGCTAAAGCGGGAGGGTCAAGGGCGTTGGGGTGGAACCCTTTGAGGCTGGCTCGGGCGCAGGCAGTCAGTAAGGTGCAGGCAGTAGCAGAATTGGCAATTTCACGCCCTCTGTTAGGTTCAGACACGCGTTGCTAGTAGATTGAGCCAAACGCGTGGACCCCGGCGTGCGCCCGCTAACAGCCAACGATGGCAGCCGAGCTGGGCAGCCTCGGGCGGGCGAAACACCAAATGCTATTTGCTGCCACAGGCCAAACAATGGTTTCAACGGCCGGCAGCGCGGGCAGGGCCAGCCAGCCAGCCAGCCAGCCAGCCAGCCAGGCCAGTGTTGCACCAGCTGCCGCGACGGCTGCGTGAGGGGGTGCTTGTCGAGTCATCCGCAGCCTCTAGGGGCGTCGGTGTGTTTTCCTTGTGGGGGGTTTGCAAAGGGGAGGGAGTGTAGCCAAAGCGGCAGTCGAGGAGATTCGCAGCTGGCAAGATACGACGCGTGACAAGGATGCAACGTGCCGGCAAGCTGCTTTTGCTGGAGCTAGTGCGGCCGAGTGGTAAAAGGAGGAGCAGTTAGCCCATCCGCTGGGCAAATGATGACGATATGCCGTCAAAGGGCCCCCCGCTTGGCCGAGGCCTAGCCTCAGCAGCGCATAGTGTGTCAGGGGAACCACGACGGTGCGTAAATGCAAACCGCAGCGAGTGAGTGCTAGGTTAGGCCTATGCTCGCCTCTTGGCCGTGTCCAGAGCATCTTGTTTCCTGTGCGCTGCGCGGGCGGGGGGAGAGACATTGGACAGCCCTCGCAGGCCATGCTGCAACCTTGTATAGCTCTGCATGAGTGGCCTCACCGGACCTGGCCCACGGCGCTGATTCGAGCAGACGACATGCTCACGGTGCAGCCACTGCTCAGCTCAGCCCAAGCCCGTCCGCCCTGCCCGTTTATCCCATCCCATCCATCCATCCAAATCCATCCATCCCATACTTTGCGTGCCTGCTGTAGATGATAATACTCGGCTGCTTCTGCCTCTGCCTCTGCCTCTGCCTCTGCTGCTGGCTTGGGCGGCCATGGTGCGTTGGGGAACAAGCAAATAGTCAGCACGCACCCTCCTTGCATCCACGCTCATGCTCTACACACCCACTCTCACCCACTCACACCCACGCACAGCGCCGCCTGTGTCGCGACAGCCAGCGGGAGCCGCGACATTGAATAGTGACATTTGGCGCAGCACACAGACACGACTAGCACGCGTTCAACGAGCGTGTTCCTGGACGAAGCTTCCCAGGCGCAGAAAACGCCATGGTTGATCCACAATGGGGCACGACGGCGGCGGAACATGCATCGGTTGGCTGTGCGCTCTGGGCGTACGAGGTTCCCTGTTCCCATGCTGTACAAGCTGCCGTCGCCCGCATCCGGCTAGTCCATCTCTCCTAGGGCCTTGCTCGCCCACTCGTTTTCTCCAGCCTGCCTCCGTCTGTATCGTGCTCTCTCTTCTCCCTCTCCTCTCCCTCCCTCCCATATCCTCTCTTTCATTACGGTCGAGCACGGAGAAACTTTGGATCTGATGTGGTGCTGACACTCTCGGCCCCTCTCTTTCCATAAAACTCCCCACCTCCTGCTCTCGGTCACCCACTCCCGACCGCCGTCTCTCCTCGAATAGGACCGTGAAGAGTACCAGACTCCCTGTGCCCTCCACCGCTACCCATTCATCCGCCGACTCCCTCCCTCCCTCGTCTCTCGCTGGACGTAGAGATACTCGCTGTAACTCTAGTCCTTCGCTCCGCATACAGCCGCCAACCTCCCCCCTTCAAGACCCCTCTGTATCAACAGCCTCGCGTGTGACAATTGGGCTCTCATCTCGGTAGGTCAAATCCCTTCTTCTCCCATCTAGCTCCGCATTCCCCGGCCTATTTGTCTTTGGATCCTGCGACCGATGTTTTCCTCTCCCGTACCGTATTCGACGCGCCTACCCTCATGGATCAAAGCGAGGTTGAGTCAGCTGGAAGGAGGTGGCTTGGCAAGTGATCAAGTGAGAGATTGGTAAGGGCAGCCCAGAGGCGGACGGGGTTATGTTTGGAGTCGACGTGTGAGGCTCTGCTGGAACTGTGTCTGGAAGGGCCAGTTATGGGCGTTTGGTTGCGTTCCAGGCGTGCGGATTGTTCTTGCCCGTTGTACCATCGACCAAGAGGCCACCTCGGCAATATCACGATACTCCCTTGCAATCACAACTGCATGACATGTCTGCGTCCGTCATGATGCCACGTCCGACATCTACAGATCGACCGTAAACCAGAGGTACTCCGTGGCTCATTGCCGGGGGTGATTGGTGAGCGCGCGATATGGGTTTGCTCTTCACCATTCACCGCCCGTCACCTGACCTTGCCGGCACTACCGTTGCTCCGTATCCGACCAAGCCGCTCTGCTCTTAGTCAGGCGCCCACTACCAATACTCTCCCACCATCGACCACTGCCTCTTGTATCGCCAGTCAGAACTTCTTCCGGAAATTGTTTCTCTACCTGTCCAGGCTTTTGCCTCTTCACATGAACAAACACTGACCATTCTCCCTCTTTAGACTGTCTGCCACCAGCCGCACCAAGCTTCCACCAGCGCCGAACAGGACCTGCAACGTAGGTTCTCATCATTATGAAGTATTCATGACCTGTACTGACACTTGCTTAGACCTAGTATCCCGCTCCGGATACTTTGTATTGTAATCCATCTTCTGGCGATTTACCCAACCCGGCGGACTCGTTAGCTCGTGCTCTGCCCCATTTCGAGACCCCGTTCAATTTCAATCTGTCTTCTGGATGCAATTAGCAAGGAACTCGCCCTCTTCGACTTCTTCCACTGTCTTTTTTGTGTTTTTGCACACACCTCACTCGCTCACTAACATAATAGCACTAATTCTGTAAAGGTATGTCACGCGCACGAGGTCCTGGCGTCCTGTCAAGCAGCTTTGATCCACCACTAACACGATTGGACCAGGCTCTGTCCACTACAACTGGTTCCCGATATTACGCACTCACCAAATCGGACCACAGACCTTCACCTATACCAACTAATACCAGTCTCTACACTCGTTGCCCTCTAGGCTGCCACTCTCTAATCCAGCTCACCATTTGAAGCTATCCACTCACTCAACCACTATATAACCCACGTCTATCCCGGAGACCTGACGACCACCACCTTGACATACCGACACCACTTCACAATGGCGTACGACCAGCAACAGCAACAGCAGTCCCGCTACGGCAACTGCGACTCGTACTTTGTCGAGTCACATGACGATGGTGTCTATGCCATGCGAGCCGAGGCTAGAGAAAGGCACCGAGCCGTATCCAAGATGCAACAACGAGCCATTGCTGAAGAGCTTTCCAGGCTCACAGCCGATGAGTACCAAGAGGATATCATGCAACACATGATGCACATGGAATCACAGACCCTCCCCGATGTAAACTCCATCGACATCCAGACTGAGATCCAGTGGTTCATGCGCCCATATCTCCTTGATTTCCTGGTCGAAGCTCACGCTGCATTCCAGCTCCTCCCCGAGACTCTGTTCCTCGCCGTCAACCTTCTCGATCGCTACTGCTCCCGTCGTGTCGTCTACAAGCGCCACTACCAGCTCGTTGGATGTGCTGCTCTCCTCATTGCTGCTAAGTACGGTGACAAGAAAGATCGTGTACCTACTGTACGGGAACTCAAGTCCATGTGCTGCTCTCTGTATGACGATGAGATGTTCACCCAGATGGAGTGGCACGTGCTACAGACTCTCAACTGGATGATTGGACACACCACAGTCGATGCATTCCTCCAGATTGCCCTGTCCGAGGCCCCATACGATGCCGAGGTTGAGCACATGACGCTTTACATTGCTGAGATTGCACTTTTCCACAAGGAGTTTGTTTCCACGCGCCCATCAGTCCTCGCACGATCGGCTCTCGCTCTTGCTAGGTGCATCCTTTCGCGACCACAAGCACGCAACACCGACTGGTCTGGTGCCTACGACCCACAAACCGTCATTGGCCTGTCCAACCACCTATACCAGCCATCCCCTGTGCTCTCTCGCAAGTATGCTTCGATGCATTTGTCAGCCGTGTCTGCTACCGTCGATGAGTTCCTTCAGCGACAGGCACAGATCGCGCGCCGACAAGCAGCTCCGCCAACACCGCCACCCACGGTAGTCATCGACGAGCCTAAGCCTGCCTCGGAAACGTTTGGCCCTCAAACACCTAACAAGAACCCATACGCCTCTGTCATGCAGAACGGATGCCCTACTCCGCCAATCACACCGGAAGGCGAGCAGTTCACATATGGTCACGTTGTCAAGTCACAGCCTGCTTCTCTGTATCCCACCACACCTACGTCGGAGCATGCGCCACCGCAACATCAAGGTCAATACTTCCACAACCAGTATCTCCACCCCCAGCACATGTAAGCAATTACTTGCGCCAGGTAGTGGCTGGTCATCCTCTCTGTCAAAAGCACTCCCACCCTCTTAGGCCTGTCTCGTCATTGTCCAAGAGGGTTGCGTTGTACCAAAAACACTCGTACATGTGCCTCATTGCACGGTAATCCTTTCTAGCATCTCCAAGCGTTTGTTCCCTGTTATTCTGCGATATCAAAGAACACCCCTTTCCTGTTTCAAGCATTTTCTTTTGTTTAGTCCGACCAAAAAAAATACTGCACCCTCGCCCGCTTCTTGGCCTACTTGCTCTGGTCAGTGGCTTGGTTTGCGGGGCCTAGGTCAAGTCGAGCACCCTTCTTCTTGGACATTGTCTCCATCTAATATGGGTCTTCCGACCTGCACTCACGGCTTGAGGGGAGGAAAAGCGGCTGGAGGGTGAAATTGGAATACAAGCAAGCAAGCACAATCAAGCTCACTCGCAGATTTTGTTTGCTTAAGCGAGCAGAGATACCCTTCTTTTTTTTTCTCAATTGGAATCTTTTTTTCGGGCCCCTTTTTTTGTTCCACGGGTGTCCGACGTTTGTCTTTTTTGCGTGTTTGGTGGGATGGTGAAGAGAGTGCGTGGCATGCTACAAGCATGGTTGACGTCTAGATTGTACTTGACAGCGGGGCTGGAAGCGCTACGAACATCAAATAGCTATAGAAACGGTCGCCCTTCACCACTTGATTCTCCCTGCACGCTTCTATTCTGGTATATCCATGTTTATGTGTTTCAGCCTGTGATGGCCCCAGCAAGTTGCGTTGGGCGAGTGGATGCTTTGACGTTATGCGACGCAAAGCTACGTCCACTTGCCACAGGTTTCACAGTCAGCAATGCAACTTGAAGTCTTTAAGATTGCCATGCTCTGCCCATCGAGCAGTCAAGCACTACAATTCACGTCATTTCGATGCATATGTTGGCGAGTATGCCTCTAGTGAGTATTCCAACACACGGCCGCCTGGGCGGGGGCCCTTCACTTCACTAACACGCTCAAAGATCTCCATTACAGCAACAAGTACCCCCACGGGAGGAGGCTACCGAATCTTCTCGCCCTACACCGACGACGACACGGCATTTGCAAACAACACGCTCTGTCCGCGATATGCCGAGTGCGATCCGACGTCTGCCCCACCGTCTCCAGCCTCGATTGAATCGCTCGAAATCTTCGACAGCATTCCTTGGCGAAGAGACTACATTGCACTGGACCCGCGTACCAGGGCCAGACACAGCCGACTACGCGCAGGATGGATGCAGAATAAAGTCCGCGCCACAATTGTACTTGTGCTTTTGCTGCTCGCCGTCTTGGCTGCCGGTACCGCGCTAGTCCTATATCTATCTGTTGTGCATGGAAAAAGCAAGTGAGATAGACAGGAAAGGGAACAAGAAAGAGAGAGAGACACACACACAGAGAGAGAAGGGAGGGTGGGCAGGTCATCGGAGAGGGTGTGTGTGTGTGTGTGACGCACATACTCTTTCTTTAAGGGCCCAAACATGAGGCGAACATTTACAGGGTACACACCACCTCCCACCTCCCCCAGGAAAAAAAACATCTCGCAGAACATAGCCTTTTGAGAGATCTTCCCCGGAGGACAATAGTTGGTAGACTCTGAACGATTGCGTATGCCCGCAGTTTCGCATACGGTCACGCTCCTCGTAGCCCACAGGACCACAAACAGTCCCCGAAGCGCGGTTGGCAAACGCAGACGTGGCATGACCTGTTTTCCAAGGACGGACCTGGTAAATTTACATACCTTGGGTAAGTGTATTTTGGGAGTGGAGAAGAGAGAGAGAGAGGGGGGGGGGTTGGGCAATCAAGACAGTTTTGCCCGCAAGGAAGTACCCTTGAGAAGCCTGCGCCCGCCTTCCCCCTAACCCACCACCCCCCAGCCACGACTTGCTATCCGTCTCACCCTCTCCTCTGCGTTCCGCGGGTTTATATCTTACTTGGGAAAGAGGGTAGTAAGCATGACTTTGAGCAAAAGGCAAGTTCAGCGGTTGTGTGGGTCCCGAAAGGGTGTTTGTTCCCTTTGAACGGGGGGGGGGGGTAGTGTAGCTACACCCTCTTTTTGTTTTGTTCTTTACTTTTTATACTTGGCGGGAGAGATATGGAAATATACCTAGTAGGAGATTAGTAGCGAAATGCTGATGGTTAATAATAATAATAATAAACATCCCAATGATAATAACCCTTTGTGTTCGTTGAGGTCGTACCAAATAGGGTAGGATTACTGGTTTATTTTAGGGGGGGACAGAATTGCGTGGTAATTTGTTTGCCCTTAACCTTACCTTAACCCCCGCCCTCCTCCCCTTTACCTGCTTCCGTGGAAGGAAGTGGAAACAAGTTCAGCCCAATGCGTTGGTCGTTGTGTTACTGGGATGATCCCTTCATTCCCGCTTTGCCGCTGTCGGAATCCGGAAATTCCAAGGAACGAAAAATACGTGAGGATTGGTTGGACTGGGGCGCCGGTAATAATATCCTTGGTTGGGTTGTTATGCTGCTGGGATTAGTACGGGATCCACCCGGTTTTCCCCTGGGCGATTAGGTGAGGTGGGGAGGGGAAGGGAGGATGGTGGAGCTGGATGGGTTGCCTTGCGTGGCGAGTGGGAAAGGTATTGATGATGAAGTAGGTATGTACGGATGATGAAAGGTGCGTTATCGTGATCACGTGGGTGATGGCTTATCGTGAGGTTTCGCGATAAGGGGAGGGAGGGAAGGGGATGGCTACTATACGCCCAGACACACGAGACAAGCAGTCGTGACGATGCGAGCTGTGGTGTAAATTCTCGCATTGTACGTAATAAATGTCTGAATTTCATAGTCGCAGGGTTCTGCGCACGCCGTCGCCTCCGCTCCGTCGTGCTTCTATTCCCCTATCTACAGTAGTAGGACACAAACGCGCAATATGGCCGTTAGTACTCCTACTCGTTCTTGTCCATCTTTCAGCGGTTTTGTATACGCTTCCGCTCAATCGGGTGATTGAACTTCGTCTGTGTCAGGCGCATTACGAGTTGCGTGATCCATTGGCCATACAGCCTGATGGCTCGATACCAGAGAAGCTGTGTAAAATAGATGATGTACAGCGTCGTCTTGCGTGGTTACAGGGTACTATGGAGACGACGCTTGTTGTTTGTGGTATGTGGGTGCTTATGAAAGTTGTTCTCTTAGATCTCTTTGAGAGGGCGGCTAATCACGATGCTGACACTGTACTCATAGACTTCATCGTAACGATACCGTTCAGCTTCGTTGCTGAGAGATGGGGCGTCAAGATTGTACTATTGTGTAATTTGGTGCCAAGGATCTTTATGAGTGCTTGGGCTATGCTTGTTGGTATGTATTCTCATTACCCTTTCTGCCACATCTCATGTGATTTCGTTCTAAACATTGTGTCAGGAAACTTTCCACATATCCTCCCCACCAACGCCATTATTGCTGGCCCATTCCTAAATGTCCTTGGAGGCGAATGCGTTTTTCAATCCACAATCTTCACGCTAACTTCGGCGTTGGCTAGTGAGTATGTGGAACGGTATGTAAACCATCCAGTCACCATTCTTTTCAAAGATTTCGTAGCACGAGAAACTAATTCACCAAAGAGCATCCTACTTCTCCTACATCAGCTCAACATCCTACATCGTATCCTTTCTTGGACCAACTCTAGCCGCATTCACCATGAGCAATAGCCTCTGGCTCCCCTTCTGGTTTAATATTGCTCTTCTACTCTGCGCCATACCAACTATCAGCTTGCTCCCTTCGATTTCAAAAACACCTACTCTCTCCACGACCCCGGATCCCATTTCTCAAGACCCAGACGGAGAAGCCGGGCCATTACTACAAGGCAGGTCAATTAGCTCAATTAGACACGCTGAGGATTTCGAATCGCACGCTAGCTTCTTACAAAGTATACTGCATGCAACACGCAAAATGAGACGTCTCGTTACTGGCCGCCGCAAATTCCAAGTCCTGCTTTGCTCCTTCTTTCTTACTGCGCTGGCGAGTTCTGATACGAAGCTTCTGGTGCAGTATATTTCCAAGCGGTATGAATGGACTTTTGCACAAGCAGGTTACATGCTCTCCGCCAAGGCACTGGTTAACTTCACGTTACTGGCTATAATTGTACCGCGCATCATCCGGACTTCTATGTCATCCAAGACAGTTCACGGGTCGGAAGTACGGCTTAATATCATAGGTGCAGAAGTTAGCATTGCGGTTTCGGTGGTGGGCGTGCTGTGTGTGGCACTAGCGTCCAGGTTCTGGATGTTGCTTGCTGGTACGTACATGGGATGGTGATGATGGGGTGGAGGTATGCTGACATTCACTGCTAGCTTTGATTGTATATGCTCTTGGCTCTGCGCTGCCGGTTTTTACAATGTCGCTGGTTAAGTCACCTCTTATTGCGCTGGCGCATTCGGATGTCCAGGACTTCAGTATAGTCATGTTGACAAAGACGCTTGGGTCGTTGGTCGGCGCTCCTTTGATGACTGTCCTGTGGGTACAGGCTATAAAGCTTGGGGGTATTGGTGTTGGCCTACCGTACTTTTTCTCTGCTGTAAGTAATGTCGTTAATCAGATATACAACATGCTAACTCGTCATGCAGTGTATATATCTTATTGCAGCATTTGTCATTGCACGTTTGCGGACTTAGGGAAATCGATTCGATAACTCGAAATGTACATTCATACTAAGCTTACTTCTCAGTTTCAAGAACTAGAACAACGAGTCGAGCAGCGAGAATCGACATGATCCATGCACTAACGGCAAACGCTCGTTGGACATTAAACTGAAACTGTAACCAAAGGATGGCAAAGAGCAAACTAGCAATGAGGGAAACAACTAATATAGTCAAGAAGATGAGATCGAGGCCATAGTCTTCCTGACAATAGGCACCCCATACCATAGCGGGCTCCCCAACAAGTATCTGCCCCAGGCGAAGGCTCGACCTTGGGGTGAAGTTCAAGAGAGAAATACCCGAGCTTCTACGTGAAGTGAATGTCAAGGATCTCGTATGCGCTTTCAGGACTGATAATCAAAATGAATTCTAAATGAAAGAAGGGATGTTGTGCCTAAGAAATGACCTTGTTGAAAGGCTTGGCCACCGAAGGCACATGTGTATCCAACTCTCCTCCATAACGATGCCTTCACTCCAACAAACACCCTATGAGAAAGACTATCTCGAAAACCATACCCGATGCCTTGCTTGATGTGCGCCCTCAAGCAGTTGGTGTATCGTTGGTCCGCAACCCATTCCCGCAATCCCGCAATTGTGCTTGACGACTAGCTTGGGAACTCTCATTGTATATTACCTGAATTGGTATTCTCAATTCTTCGCGGGAGGATGACTATTTCCATCTCTTCTTCAGCCCGATTGTGGTCGGGATGTCTCAATCTGCTCTCGTTCATCTGTGGGCTGGCGATGTCACGTTCCGGGCCCTGTACCTGTCGATTGCTGTACCATGGGCTGGCAGTGTCACGTTCCGGGCCTTGTACCTGTTGGGCACCGTATTGTTGGCTGGTGAAATTTCGCTCTAAATGCTGTGCATGGTGGGTACCATGCCACGACGGCTCCCGAACCTCCGCCCTATAATCGGCTCCTTGATAAGATGATGAGTCGCGTGATGAGATGAATCGATCGCTAGAGATATCGTGGAACCTGGGTTTCGCTTCTCTAGCATGATTTCCCTGGCTTGGCGGCGCCCTGGCCGGCATGTAGGCATAGTCTGGATGTGAACAACCTTGATTGCGACGGCTAGATTGTAAAAACATTCTTTCGGTTTCGTCACTTGCGTTTCCTACGAAATTACCCGCGGTCGATCCGAAAGTCAAGTCTCCAAGTTCGCCTTCTATGTCGCCTTCCTTGTGGCCGTTGAACATTGAGTTGTAACCCTCTATTTTGGCACCTGTCATCTTGATCTATACTGTTGTCAGTTTTGATATATATCAATCCTAGAGAAAAAAAGCCTTACTCTGAGCCTTTTGGTAGGCTGTCCAGCCGGTTGATTCGGATGCGGGTCCATGGATGCGCCAGTTGTATCCTCAGCGCTGTGAGATGTACTCTTTCTATTTGACCCTGCTATAGGGATTTCCACACGAATGTTCTTGCAAGATGATTCAACCGTCTGTCGAAGATCCAGGAGGGCTTCTTGATGTTCTTGAGAAATGTATAATTGGAGCAAATTCCTCTTCTTATCAAGTGTCTCGAACGCTGAGCTGATCTTGTCTTGTGATGTGACTGGCGCCCAGTCGATACCAAAGATTCGCTTTGGTTTAAGGAGGTGTAGCACTTGGCATGCGATACCAGATATGGATATCAGAACAGGGAGGACGGGACTGTGGTCGTCGTTGTCGTTGACCTGTTGCTGGCCGAGGCGTTGAATAGTATGAAGTAATAGCCTGATATTTATTGCTTCGTCACAGTAAGTCGAGTTACAGTGAATAAGCTCAGTATAAAGTCTCTGGAGGCTAGTAGCCGATGAGGATAAGTAGACCAGGAGCTGGCTAACGCTTGCTGCACAGCCAACGAGTTCCATATTTGTATTGTATTGAAGACGGGACAGGTTCACAGAAATTTGATGATGAAGGACCATCAGCCAGGCTAAATCAATCAAATAGAAACCGCCACCTGATTTTCGTTGTCCACGTTGAAGAATATGCAGCCACAGCAAGTTGGTGGCTATAAGCGAACCCATGTTAGCCTTTCTATCGCATCAATACACATGCGAAACCAACGTGGCACCACAAGGCCCTCTCAAAATACTACTTTCCGGTGAATTTTGACCTCGGGTATCCTTTCAGAGTGGTCTGCAAGGCAGAAATCAGCATCTTGTGCTATGACTTAGTTTGCGCAGAGCCTTTCGTAGTGTTACACGAAATGCAACTGCAACGTGACACAGCCTTCCTGCACAACTTTTTTCCAAACATCTAGCAAATAAGATAGATTTACCATGCCCCTCACAGTATTTTAAGCTACAGGGTTTCTCCTGTTGTTGTCCATACTAATCAGGTCGGGGTATGTCTCAATGAAAGGATCATTTCGCCCTCATAGCCAGCGTAGTCTGTACCCGTTTCGATAGATTTGCGATTAGCGTGATTGACACTAAAATTATCCTCGAGGGGGCCTCGTTGTCACTGCTTAAGCGCTGGTCATGTGGCAGATACAACACCTGCAGTCTTAATTGGTAGTCCTTCACCAAGAGATAACACAGGACACACTACCCCTATGTCTTCACCGGAAACATACCCTGTATCATTTGCTGGAGTAACTCTCCGATACTCGGAGTCTGTTTCATAGCCAAGATAGGCTACGTTGACTCAAGGAAATTTGTGATGCCAACGCAGGCCTGCCGTGCTACTTCTCCAGCCCCTCGCCCTCGACTTTCTGCTTCTTCGGTACTCAAACGTATGCAAGGAGGGTACTCAGCCTTATCATATACTTAATCCAATAACATTCACCTTTCAGTGTCACAATACAACATCTCATCTCATCATGGAATTGGAGATGACGCATAATCACATCCCTGGAACGAACCAGATCGGTAACGGTGATATTAGGGGAGATACAGTCCAGAGTAGTACTGCCAATCCAAGCAGTAATGCCAACCCGATTAGCAGTGCCAATCCAAGTAGCAGTGCTAATCCGAGCAGCAATGCCAATCCGAACAACAACTCTCATTTCGAAAACAGAGGGCCACAAGTAGACAACAGGTTCATAGTTGGGGATTCAGATAAAGATCATAAACGACCATGGGTGTTTATGGTGTTTGTCGGGGCAAGTTTAACTGTGATTGGAGTTGTGGCTATCACCTTACCCCTCACACTCATGCATAAGAGCACTGGAGCCTCCACCAACAGCGAATCAGTGAGCACACCAAGTCCAGGTCCCAAAACAACCAGCTAACAAGCAAGCAGGATAATCCCAAGCCTCCCACAAGTTTCCCACTGTCCCCAAGTACCTTGGACGCTCCACCCGAAAAGCCCGCCACTCCAGCCTCGTTATACCCTCTTACGTCCGCAATCGCCACCGCACTCTCAAGCATCGCCAGTGTCACCTCTCCAACACCCATACCTTCGCCCTCTCCAACGTCCCAGCCTCTCGCTCCAACGATTCAATCTCCCGCTCCAGCGATCCAGTCTCCCTCCCCGACCCGAAAAGAAACCATAACGTCCTACGCTGCCTTCCTCACACCCGGCGCCCTTTGCACCGCGGACGCACAATGCTCGCCAAACATCTGCTACACAGAGCCCAACACTGTGACGTACTGCTGTGGGCCAACGATCACGGGGTGTCCCGGGTGGCCGTGTAGCGACCCGGGCCATCGCGACTGCAAAGATCCGTTCAAGTGTGATTTCCAGGCGTTCACTTGTTCGTTGTGATAGATCAAGAGAAAGGGTTAGAATAGGGGATGGGGGTAGATATGCCGATACGACCATATTCTCTTCTTTATTTTGTTTTATTCTTTTTTTTTCGTTCCAACGAAAGGGGAGGTGGTTCTGAAGAAGCGTATTGTGTGTTTAGCCGATGAGGATACATTTTTACTGTATATAGTTTGTATATCATGTAGTCATGTCTGTAAGTAGTTGCCTTGGCATCTTGTACGTAGTAATATAGCCTGATTCTTCGATCACTGTCTATGCTGAAACCAAGTCTCTTCTCAGCAATGCATAACAAGACTCAACAACAAACAAACCAAGAAAGACAAAAACTGGGGGTTATCAGTTTTACTGGAACAAATCATCTTCTTCGTTCTTACACACACTACGCAAAAAAACCTCCCGCCGTACAAATATCTCCAGAAGTAACTAAGCCCGCACACATTCAAAAGGGGGGAAGAGACAACCCCCGCCGTCCCGAGATATGCAATCCAGCGAATCTTACAAAAGTAGAGAGGCAAGAAAACGGGGATAAATAAGGAAAAAATCATGGTACATGGGTAGTAGTGGTGTAGTGGTATAGCAACCTAGAGAAGAAATAAACAGCACGGCAACTCCTTTTTTTTCTCTAACTCCCTTAGAAAAGGTGCGTGTATGCCAACAAAAAAAGACGCAACAGCCTCCCCCAACATGTTCTCCGTTATGCCTAGAACGCCATGCATGGGTGAATGCATCCAACAGCCCCAACAACCTAAACCAAGAAGGGAAGAAGAGGGGGGTATGTACAAAGCAATTGCTGGGACTCTAGCGACGCGCTTGTGTCTGGGAGAACCAGTCGTCTTGCGTAGACGGGTATTGTCTTCGCATTTCCGCCTCCTCTTCTTCTTGGCTCGATCTAAGGATCTCTTGCATGGCCTGGATATCGTTGATAATGACGTTGAACGCTTCGGTGACCTCCTTGAGGACAACATTGCGGTTATAGTCGGATCGGTGCTTCCAGATGGCATCCATAAGCGCGGCATTGATTTGCTCTAGTTGTTCGAGTGAGCAGCCGGATGTAGACTGCACCAGCTTGTTGTGTAGGGCTGTAACCAGCGTATCGTCGATAATGAGCTGAGGCTTTGGCTCCTCATCGTTCAAAATCTGGTTGAGATTCGAGTGATGTGGAGGTGCAGGTGCTGGCATGGAAGTAACGTATTGCGGTGATTGCGAGGGTTGAGAGTTTGACGGTTGACTGCTGACGTAGTGGACTTCTGTTTTGGGGACGTGGTCAGTTGCTGGTGCTGGGGAGATACGGGGCGAGAGTTGGAAGCGTCGAGCAAAGAAATTTGGCGAACCTTGTGTGTCAGGAAGCTGTGAGCCACTCTGTTCTGGCAGCATCTCCGAAAAGTTGGGGATGCCCGAGGGGGCAACGCCGTTGCTACTCTGAGTACTGAACTTGTTGTCTGAAGACCTGTGCGAAGTCTTTTGACCAGAAGTCGTCGTGGAAGCGCTGTTGTGGTAGTCATTGGGATGCGAGTTCGGCGCCATGAATGTGCGGCCCGCGATCTGCGACTTCTGCGTCTGAGTTCCCTGGGTGTCAATCCTACTTGGAGTTTGGAATTGGAAATCGTGTTGCGTATTGATATTCAGATCTTGGCTGTCGGTCATGTGTGTGTCATCGTTGGAAGGCGCGGTAGAGCCGTTGGTTGCGTGCTGTGTACCATTGGATAACTCCACGGCATGTACTGGCCGCAATGGAGTCACGGGTGGCATAGCCAAGTGTCCAGGAATGGGTTCACCCAAGACAATAGGCCCTGAGGTCTCCGTTGTGCCGATTGATTGCTCAGGGGGCACCCGGGCAATATCAGCAAACTCTTTGTTTGCCGCTATGGCCTTCTCCCGCTTCTCTTGGGCCTTGCGCTCTCTCTCGAGCTCGCGCTGATATACTGCCTCACATTCTGCGAGCAGACCGGGATTTTGCTGCATGAAAAAGTTGTCTAGGTCAACCTCGACGTTTGTGATCATCTCATTGCCCTTCAAGGTTCGTTCGGCATCTCCAAAAGTCTTAGCATCTTTGACAAGAGTCTTGATATCAAAGAGGTAATCTACCGGGCGTTTGTAGTAACCGTTCGAAAGGCGTTTCTCGATGGTACTGAGATCCAAGTTGTAGTACTTGTTCCCACTCTCCACGTGCAAAAGGACGTCGACGCCCCTGGAATCTTTGGAGAACTCCCATGGTCGTATGGCACCCTGGTCTTCTTGCTCGTCGTGTGGCAAGTCTGACCGGACAAAGTCAGGGTCCTGTTCCTCAAGCAAATAAGAGTACCAGCTTTCTTCCAGAATTGGCTTGAAGAACTTCCTGTGGCTCCTCTTCAACTGATCCATGATGGGTTGGATGACTATCTTCATCTTGTTGAGTGTGAGTCTGTCTTGTTTCTTCTGCCACTTTTCGCGAGCTGCAAGTTCTTTAGGATCAATAACCGGCTCAACGATGGGAGCGGCTTCCAACTCAGGCAGTACGCGCTTCTTCCTGTTATCAGGATCGGGGAAATCTGCAGGAGACATGCGGATGTAGTGGCTGATGTTGTTAAAGAATTCCGAGCGGCCTTCTTGGTCCGGTCGCTTGAGTTGAAACTGGTTCGACTGTGAGAATGAGAAGAGATCCATCATCATCTGTCGGTCAGGCTTCTCATCTTCACCCGATAGCTCCATGATGCCCAGAACCATGATCGGCTCATTAGCGCCAATACTTCGCAAAAGAAGCTTGAACGTTTTGACCGCTTGTGGGGGTAGTGTTTGGTACCAGACGTCGACTGCAGGGATATAGATGACACTGGGTTTGTGTCGCCTTACTTCAGTGAACAGTTGCGTGATGGCTGCCTCGGGCGTTCGGGTCGAGTCTTCCAAGATGGTTGGAAGGTCAAAGGATTGAACATGCAATCCCTCTATCCTGTTCAACAACGCAGCGCCAAGATATTGCTGACCCATGCCTTGGAGACCACTGATGAGTAGACGGGGCCTGAAGATCCTGCTGCTTTCGAAATTTCGCATAGTAGCTTCACGCTCGAAACCCTTCTCGTCATCTCTATCGTCAAATTCAGCTTCTTCGAGTGCCGTGAGCTTCTTCCTCCGAGGAATGAGTTCGTCGATACGCTTGATGATTGCCTCAAGGGGTTTCCGCAGCAGCGGCTCGATGTTCTTGCCCAATGGCGCTGCGCTTGCTGTGACGGTTCGCTGAGAAGAAGGAACCATCTTGTTGACTGAGATCATGAAATCCTTTGCTAGGATCTTGATGTTGCTAGGATCAATCAACAATTTCTTCTCGGATGTGTAGATTTGAGGGTATGTTCCTTGCACGGCGTTCAAGGCTGCCTCTGTGCACAAGGCCCGAATATCGGCACCACCGTAGCCCTTGGTCAGCTCTGCAAGTTGATCCTTCATATCCGGCTTTAGAGGTGGGTCCCAGTTCTTGGTATGAATGTCGATGATGGCTCGTCGACCTGCAACATTTGGTAGTGGGAAATAGAACTCTCGATCGAATCGTCCTGGACGTCGAAGTGCAGGATCTACTGAATCAGGTCGATTGGTAGCACCTATGACGATGACCTGCCCACGACCATCCATACCGTCCATTAAAGCAAGAAGTGTCGCGACAATTGAAGCATGAATCTGCTCTTGTTTACTCGATCGAACGGGTGCCAAACCATCGATTTCATCAAAGAAGATGATACTAGGCTGGGTTTTCCGTGCTTCTTCGAACAAAAGACGAAGCTGCCGCTCAGCTTCTCCCACCCACTTGCTCAAGGCATCGGCACCTTTGCGCATGTAGAAGGTAACTTTCTGCCCATGCGTACTGACACTGGAAGCGAGAGCACGGGCAAGAAGTGTTTTACCGGTACCGGGTGGTCCGTGGAACAAAACACCTCGTGGAGGAGTAATCTTGAAGCGTTGGAAAACTTCAGGGTATAGCAGTGGAAGCATAACCATTTCCTTCAGTTTGTTGATGTGGTCGTCCAAACCACCTACTCCATCGAAATTGACATTTGGATCGACACCCAGAGGATCCGCGTCCGCAAGAGCCTTCTTGTCCTTGACTTTACCAAGATTTGCTGGGCCACCACCAGAGGCTTGTTGTGGGTCAGCATTATGAGTTTGAGGAAACCCGAACCCAGGGGCCGTCGCTGTGGTTGGAGTCATGCCAATCATTCCACCAGCTGGCTTAGGCATCTTCTGGTTCTCATCCTCGCTGCTGTCAGAGTCACCGCCTGCTGCGCCCAGGCCAGCTTCGACACCACCACCAAAGGGACCTTGGCTGCGCCAGAGGCTCCTGTATGTGGATCGGCCACCTCTTGCTCGTGGTTTGTCGGCAACAGGAGGATCGTCGTCATTGTCGAACATGGTGTTCATCTCTGGTCGGACGACACGGTAGTCTACTCCAGTGTTACGGGCTCGACGTTTGGGCACCGAGTCATAAGCCAGATCCTCATCCGGCTTTCGGCGGCTCAGTCGCCGCCTCTTGTTGTATTCTAGGTCCTGAAGCTCATCCTGCAATTCATCTTGATCCAACCCCGATTCTTCAGACGATGAGTTGCGCCTGCTACGCTGGGACTGACGAGTCTTCCCTCGGAGGCGGTTCGACCGCCTTCCTGAGCCTGAAGCGCTTTCTGATGCAGACGCCTTGCCCTTGTCATTGTCGGACTCAGATAGTTCTTCCTCTTTTTCGTCTTCGGCGGGGGGTTCAAAGTCACTGCTCTCGTCGGCGGCACGCTTGCGTTTGGATGATGCAGCACGGTTCTAGAAGACTGGTCAGTTTGAACACACAACTCAGAGTCGAATACTGTCGCACCCTTATATTACGGCCATTGCGAGCCACTGGACCCTCCTCGTCAGAGTCCTCAGCAGCACCTTCGTCGTGCTGAGATTCTTGAATCACACCTTCCATGTCCTCCTCACCCTCGGCATCTTCGTCTTGCGCATCTTGCGCAGGTGAGCTGTCCTTGCTTGCCTCCACTTGGGTCTGAGTGCCAGCAATGATGGCGTCGAGGGGACCAGGAGTGTCATCGTGGATCATTGATGTCTCTTGCGAGGCTTCCATGATGGCGCTAGGATGCTCGATCTTGGGACCCTTGCCTCCTCTTGTTGCGCGCCCAATAGGCTCAGGACTGCGGGTTCCTTCACGGATGACGGTGACATGCTTGCCCGAGTCAGAGAGTGCGACGATAGGTTCTTCAATATCATGAGAAAGACGAGTGCTACGTCGAGTTCCATGAACCTCTGGTGTTCTTCCGCGCGCAAGTGATTTGCTGCCGGTACGAGTGCGCAGGTTGCGACTGGAGCTGTTGTCGGGCATCTTCAGCTTTACAATGAGTGATGGCTTGTCAACCTTTTCGATGGATGGCTGTGCACGGCGTCGCGAGGCAGGCTTAGGCGAATCGTCTTCCGAGGGTGTGTCCTCGATTTCGTCTTCGCTCTCTTCGTACTTGATCTGCTTCTTGGTGGCGCGACGCACGCTTCTGCCTGTCGCAGGGTTGATTTCTGGCTCCTCTGACTCGGAACGCTCGGTAAAGGAGTCGTCCGACTCGATTTCGTCGTCGTCGTCGATGTCAGAGCCGCTGTACACGCGCCGCTGGCGCTTCGAGGGCTTCTTTTTGGCCCCCGGCGTGCCTCGGTTGCGACGGCGCTGAGGTACTGCGCGTCTTTCCGAATCGTCGTAATCAAAGTCGTCAGGATCGGATGCGTTGGGGTCGATGTCGAACTTGCGCTTCGATCGGTTAGACATAGGGACTCGTTTGCGGTGAAGCTGTTGCGTTCCTTGGGTAGCGCGGTGAGTGAAGGGGATCCGATGCGTCGCAGCTAGGGCGCACTTACACCGCCCAAATAGGGTATTTGTCAACTTTCACGATTGCATTAGTAGCAGAGAAGGCTGTTGTGCATGTGCGCCGATGACGGCAATAATGCGCGCGATGCTGACTGCTGGTCGACCGTGTGTCGTGTTGTTGTGAATAGGTGTGCGCCTGCGGGTGCGCGATGCACAAACACAAAGGATGCAGAAATGGACGCGAAAGACAAATGATAAATGGCAGACCCCTCCAAAATCCACGAGAAGCAGGGAAGTCCTAATAGATGATGTCGCTGAGGGGCGTGTGGTTGATGGGGAAGCGCCGCGTTGGAGCTGGTTGACCCAATGTTGGCTGCTCACCCAATCCTAAGCGCGCTAAAACCCAACACGATTTTAAAGCAGGGAATGCTTCTTCTTCGATGCCGCAATCACGACAATAAAGAATGCACCTTGTTTCTCAACATTTAATAATTCAATACGCGTGAAAAGACCCGAAAATCAACGTCGGAATATGAATTAGGCAAGTTCGGCAACTTTTCGGGAGTCTCCTGGCCGACTCTGGACTGCTATTCGAGCTCTCTTTTTTTCTTTGACAGCTCTTCCTGCCGTCTGTTCCTGCATGATCGACATGCGGCTCTAAAAGCTTAACGCCATTAGAGCTCGCTGGCATCTGTGGGGAAGGGCGAACCACGCACGTGCGCCACGTGCCAGGACGACTCCATCCTCGCAAGCACCCCTGGACAGTGACGCCCGGAACGTACCATGCTCAGCACTGTTTCCATCATTCAACAGCAATAAATCTATTTCATGATCATGATTGTGCAAGTCTCTGCGAATTCGTCCTGACACTCTCATGTGGGCCATCGTGAATACACTGCGAATTGACGTTAGGTTCATGTAGAATGAACGGAAAAATATGATAAACAGAATGGCCATGCTGCCTTTCTGCGGAATGTGTAATGGAGTGCTTTTGCTTGAGCAGTGGTGGTATGTACTTGGTCAAATTGCACTTGTGTTGTAGTGCGACGAACATCGCAACCACCAAGCGCAGCACACCTCATAAGCGATGCCCATCGACGCTTCGGATCATCACATTACAACAACCGCGGCACATAATCATGTAAAGCATAGCTTGAATCTTGATTACAGTGAAGAAAAGTTCATGATGATCTGAATACGACTACACGTCCATACGGCGCCGTGGTGACGTATCGCTCCTTTCTTTTCCTACATCTTCAAGATACCTTCTACGACCACAGCGTGATACTTTTGTTGGTGCAGGCAACTGTGAGTCACTTCTCTCTCTTTCCATGTAACAACTAAACGGTTGCCAATCTTATTTTGCGCTCAACCGACTACACGCCCTTGACGCTCCATACGCCCTATACGCTCTATACGCTGCCGGCGCGTAGAGTCTCTGTTGTAAAGATATTGGAAAATCGGCACAAACGTCTATGCCAGAGTACGATATTGTTCAAAATTCATCTTTTTTTGTGATTGAAATTTATCAGATAGCATTTTGCGCAATTCCGTGTTATTCATATCCACTTGACTTTGCCTCGGAGTTGTTCGCTGCCGTCCCACCTTGAGCTCTTGGAGAACACAGAACCCCGCATTTCGGCCATAGCTCTCTCAAACGTCATAGGCTGCCGCAGTTCTGCTCAACACCCAACCTAACGGTGATTAGCAATTGACGTCTGGACTCTGTAGGCGGACTAAACTTGCCCTAATAATTTCACGTGGGCCGTCTCAAGATCGGCCAAAGTCGCGGCATTTTATATTTTCTCTTCATCCCCCCCAGAGATAGCAATGCGCTCTTTCGTAACTGCCACTCGATCACTTGCACGACAGCCAGCCTACAGGAATAACTTCCAGAAGATAACCTTGCCATCAATTGTTTCAAGAGGATACGCAAACATGGGACACTCAGTACCACCGGTATGTTAGTAGCTTCCATCAACTCTTGTCCCTATCAGACTAACATTACCTACAGCTCAACGACAAGTCGCTGCTGAAGAACCAGACATATGTTAACGGAGAATGGATAGACGCAAAGTCTGGCAAGACCTTCGAGGTCCACGGTAATTCTCCTGTCCTTGTTTGGCATGGGCCTATTCTTATCATTGCGCAGATCCAGCAACAGGCAAACTCATTGGCACAATGCCTGAGATGGATCGCGCCGATACCGAAGCTGCCATCGCTGCTGCAGCTGCAGCTTTTCCTTCCTTCCGCAAAACTACCGGCCGCGAGCGCTCACGTATGCTACGGAAATGGTACCAGCTCATGATGGACAACGCAGAGGACCTGGCCAAGCTCATAACGTGGGAGAATGGAAAGCCCATGGCAGATGCGAAGGGGGAGGTCAACTACGCTGCGAGCTTTTATGAGTGGTTCGCGGAAGAAGCGCCGCGAATCTATGGAACTACCATTCCAGCGTCAATTGCTGGAAACAGGGTTTTCACAATCAAGGAGCCGGTCGGCGTTGTTGGATTGATCACACCGTAAGTATTGAGACATGGTTGAAAGTAGGTATAGCCAGCATTACTAACATGGATAGATGGAACTTCCCAGCAGCCATGATTACAAGAAAAATTGGTCCAGCACTGGCGGCTGGTTGCACAGTCGTGGCCAAGTCTCCTGGTGAGACTCCCTTTACCGCTGCTGCCCTGGCTGAGCTTGCACACCGTGCGGGGATACCAAAGGGCGTAGTAAACTTCGTCACGGCCCTTAAGAACACTCCAGAGGTGGGCGAGACAATCACATCAAGCAAGACCGTCAAGAAAGTTTCTTTCACGGGTTCCACAGGTGTAGGAAAGCTTCTGATGAAGCAATCATCAGACACCCTGAAGAAACTCTCTTTTGAACTGGGTGGAAACGCACCCTTCATCGTCTTCGACGACGCCGACCTCGAATCCGCCGTAACCGGCGCCATCACATCCAAATTCCGCTCTTCAGGCCAGACATGTGTGTGCGCCAACAGAATCTACGTCCAATCCGGCATCTACGACGAATTCTGCACCAAGTTCACAGAAAAGGTCCAGAGTTTCAAGGTCGGCGGTGGATACGAAGAGGGCATCACACACGGTCCCCTCATCCACGACCGCGCCGTATCAAAAGTCGACGCACACGTCCAAGACGCTGTCAAGAACGGCGCCAAGGTCCTCCATGGCGGCCAGAAACTCCCAGATCTCGGTGCAAACTTTTACCAGCCCACTGTCCTCCGTGACATGACTAAGGATATGCAACTTGCAAAGGACGAGACTTTTGGTCCTGTAGCGGGTCTCTTCCCCTTCAAGACTGAAGCCGACGTCGTTAAGCTTGCCAACGAGGCCGATGTGGGTCTTGCTGGATACTTCTTCAGCCGCGATATTCAGAGAGTGTACAGAGTCGCCGAGGCATTGGAGGTGGGCATGGTTGGCGTCAACACAGGTCTCATTTCAGATGTTGCTTCACCTTTTGGTGGCGTCAAGGAGTCTGGATTTGGACGCGAAGGAAGCCATATGGGTATTGACGAGTATGTTGTTACCAAGACCATTACTATGGGTGGAAATGGCCAGCCGCTGCAGGGCGAGTAAGGGATCTTGAATACAATAGTGCTCATGTCGCAGCGAGATAGAAAGTTAAATGCATTCTGAATTTTGGTATCTCACTGAATGTTAGGCTATCATTGCCACATTTGTTGACAAGCACGCGACTAGGTATTTTGTAGGTATCGACTCCCAGCAACATCAAATGTTTCTCATTGATTGTACCCAGGCGGTTTCCGTCATTGTCGTTACACGCATGTGATTTTCCCATGCCCACCAAGCACCTCATAGCTGAACATTGTATGCAAAAGTCACACACGTGGAAACCAGAACCTCAAGGTCATCATTGAAAGTTGTTCATTTTCATGCCAGTTGACCCAGCACTATCGTTGGATACATACGTGAGGCGCCGAATGTAATGCCCCGCGCCATAACCCAGGAATGCTAGAAAAGACCCATGTCACCCAAAAACACCCTCTAGTACCTCTTTCCCTCACGGAGAATGTCGCTGTACTCCTCAAGTGGTGAGGGGCGGAGAGCGTTCTCTTTCCACAGGTTGGGAGTAAGGAAGCCGTAGGTGTGGGCGACGGCAACGAAGGTAGCCTTCAGGGTGTTCTCAAGAGTCTTGGTTGAACCGGAAGAGGCAGTGTAGATATCCTGGACACCAGCCAATTGCAAGAGACGCTTGACGGCGGGCGAGGCGACAAGGCCGGTACCGCGGGGAGCGGGGATGAGACGGACAGTGACGGAACCGCACTTTCCGCTCTCCTTAGTGGGGAGCGAGTGAGGCTCACCAAGGTTGGTACCCCAGTAACCTCTTCGGATGGGGACGACGGAGAGCTTGGCGATGATGATAGCGGCGCGGATGGCGGTCGCGACTTCCTTGGAGGTCTTGATACCGAGACCAACGTGACCCTCAGAGTCACCGATGACGACGATAGCCTTGAAGCGGGTACGCTGACCAGCACGGGTCTGCTTCTGGACGGGCTTGATCTTCATGACCTCGTCCTTCAGCTTGGGAAGGAAGAAGTCGACGACCTGGTACTCCTTGATGGGGAGAGAGTGGAGGTAGCTACACGCTGTCAGACAATTCTCTCGCACTTCCGTTGTCCGGCTCAACATACATCTCCTCCATGCTCTTGATCTTGCCAGCCTTTACAAGACGGCCGAGCTTGGTGACGGGCTGCCATTCCTTCTCCTGTACCAATTGTCAATTTCCGGCAACATTTCCCTTCAACGACTATGTTTGCGTACTTCAGACTTTCCGCCACGGCGGCCACGGCCACGTCCGCGACCACGTCCACGGTCACCACCGCGGTCTCCACGAGAACCGAATCCGCCGCGAGCGGGGGCAGGAGCGTCAGCCATTTTGTATGTCGGGTGGGGTATACGGCTGCTGATTCTGGGATTAGCAATTTGACAGAGTAACAGGAGGGTTGGAGAGCGTACGATTTGGTGTTTCCTGGAGTTAGTACTGTTGTCGCGGAAGTCGAGGTCGCGAAATTGATGGAATTCGACCTCGTTTAGTCTGTGGGTAAAAAGACGCTAACCGTATATGGCTTGGCGCCAGTAGTGGATGCTCTGCCCATGGACACATGCTGAACTTGAACTCTAACTAGACCAGTGGCGGCTTTATTTAAATACAATGAAACTAATCATTCTAGCAATTATTGATGCGTTGCGCATGCCGAAAATTTTGAAATTTGAATCAATTTTATGCAAAAGTGCTGTGTATAAGTGTCGACGTGACATGCTGTCACTACGGTTTACGAGTAGGTTGTGACAGTGCGGCTGACTAAGAGACTGTTGAATGCGCATGACTCGTTCACATGGCAATGATAGCACATGTCTCACGCGAACAGCACCACGAACAAAACCTCAACAATCCAGTTACACCCCTATCGCTTCCCAAATTACATTCTAATGACCAAGCATAATGTCTATCTTAAACTCAGTACTGGGCTCGCTCTCTCCACCGTCAGGATTTAGAAAGTCCTTCGAAGACCCGCACGCGCATGAACATGAGCTACCATCATACAACTCCTCATCGCCTCCACGTATACCACCTCCCGTAACGTCCTCGATACTATGGACGGCGCCAAAAGCAAACATTCCAATTCAACCTCGAGTCCCCGACGACTTGCTAGCTCTACAACGGCGAGCGCGACACCTCGAACAACAGCTGCAAGAGCTGCTTGATGCGCAGGCAGATGGTTTGATGGCCGGGCTGGGAGCGGGAAGCAATATACCAGATGATTTGGTGTCGAACGGGAGTACCACACCGACTGTCAGTAGTGTCAGGTCTAGCGACAAAAGCGCAGAAAATGGAGAGACATTGCCTAAGCCCCGGCGGAAAAAGGTAGGACTGCAAGCGGCAAGAAATGGCATATCTAGGCGCATGAAGCAACTCGCAAGCATCAAGGCTGAAGAGCTCGACTTATTAGATGAAGATTTAAGGAAAGTACAAAGCACAGTCGAGAAGACAGATGCATGGAGCCAGAAGCGCACACGGCTCGAGAAGAAGATCCGAGAAATAGAGTGCCAGGATGCCGGTGCAAAGACGCGCAGTCTACAAACAGAGGCCTCAAAGCTTGAACAAGAAATACGGCAGAAGGAAGAGGAGTTGTGGGCGCTCAAACGACGGCATCGACGGGTATTGGATGAACTGGCCGATACTGAGAACTCAGTGGAAGCGAAGATAGCATCTTACAAGACGTCACTGTCATTGTTGGATCGCGAAGTCTCGAACTTTCTCGCGAGACCTGTAGATCCGAACCACGTACCTGTATCATCCTCCCCATACCCTACGCTTCCCGCAAAACGACGAACGCTTGAAATGGCACGCGAGTACTGGCAGGATGAATACACCAGATTAGCTGAGAAATGCGAAGAGATCGATACAGACCGTGGGGCGCTTGACGAAGGAGCACTTCTATGGTCAGATGTAATGAAGAGAGTCGGGGACTATGAAGCAAGCCTGCAAAGCTATATGCAACAAGCGGGACGAAAGAACCCTCCTGAATCATCTAAACTCCTCGACCAGATGGAAAAAACTATATCCTACCTAGAAGAAAAGTTAGAGCTTGCTTCTTCGCGAAGTTGGAATCTGTTGGTATGTGCTATCGGAGCAGAGCTAGAGGCCTTCACACAAGGAAAGAATATGTTAGAAGAGGCTCTAGGGTTGAAGCGGAAGGGCAAAGAGAAGGCCACAGAGCCACTACTAGATCAAGATGGATTCCAAGCTGAGCAACCCGAAGACATGACCGTATCAGCTATCAGGATCACCCAGTCCCCAAAGCCACCAGCCCCGCCCAAGCAACAATACTTTGATTCGGAAGACGACGATCCTGATCCTGAGCTTTTGATTTCACATCAGGATGTTGATACATACTGAGTATGTTCTTTAGTGGCGGATCGATAGGTATTGCAAATCAGCTCTAACAGCTTGAATACACTACTATTTTGCTACGGCCTTCATAGTTTGATACCCCGTTGGTAGTGATGTGCTGTTCCTGCGTAGCTGTGAGATTGGGGGCTAGTCGCTTTAAGCGCACCACTGTCACCATAACAGTAGTTTGAGAAATAGTCAAATGATATGCTACCTAAAAACAGAGTTCGCAAGTGTAAACTATACCTACGTAAGAACGCGCTATGTTGGTGCCAGTGCGTATAGTATATCGATAAGGTGCTCGATTGGCGTCATCGGTGATAGGCCTTATCGCCGAGGTTAGTCCAGAGCTCCCGCTCACTACGATCATCACCACCATGTTGCCTCGGCGCCACTTGCGACTCATTTCAGAGCTCAATCCACCAACATGAGCTCGTCGCAGGTTCCCACTAGTCCGCCTAGCGAACTTGAAAATGCCAGGACCATCGTATACGATCCGAATGATCCGTTTTGGCGAGATACCGAGGATGATGATGACGACATGGACTTTGTGCCCGCAGAGGAAGGTCATGATGACGAGGAAGAAGGAGAGGGCGACTCAAGTTTCCATGGTATCTATTGCAAAGCGTTCCATGATTGTGCTGTGGTTGCTAACATTATGCAAAGATGCTGCTGAGCGACTGAGTAATCTTAGTGGAGTTGAAATCGCATTTGAATACACCGATGACAATGATGAAGAGGAGGAAGAGGAAGAGGAAGATGACGATGAAGTTGAAGACGATGATGAAAATGAAGAGGAGGAGGAAGACGATATGGAACTTCCCCAACGACCAGTGATGATCACCCGCGACCAGATCATGCAATTGCTTGGACACGCGGGACTGGGGCGAATATTCGCCGCCGATTTCTCACAACGCTCTCTGCTGCGACGACGCCGGCTCGACGATGAGGAGGAAGATGACGACGACGATGACGATAACAGCGACCCTGGCACTGGCTATGATCCCGTTGTGCCTACAGGGACCTCTGGTAGAAGGCGCCGCCCTCGTGGCAGGGACTTGCTGGAAAAGGTACCAAGTGAACAGGGCAGAGAACTGATGGAGACGGGTACCTTTGGATCGAATCCTCGAAGAGAGGACACAATCAAGAGGAAAAAGAGGTTGGCCTACGATATCATGAGGCGAGAGTTGGGTATTGGTAGTGATGGACGACAGAAGAACGCCACAAGGCTTTTGAAGCAGGATATGATACCTGAATCAGTTGCTGATACCATTATTCACTACAACGCACGGTGCTACTCAGGACAGTTCTCAGATGACGGCAATTTTTTCTTTTCCTGCGCACAGGACTTCAAAGTGCGCATGTACGATACCTCGAACCCCTACGATTGGAAATACTACAAGGTAAGCAGTGAAATTGCAATTTGGGAGCAACAAAGTTGATTGGTTACAGACTGTGAGATACCATGGTGGGCAGTGGACAATTACAGATGCCTCACTTAGCCCCGACAACCGATTCTTAGCTTACAGCTCAATCCGAAGTATCGTGAGCCTAGCACCTACAGATCCTGAAGATGACTCGGAGCCTCACATGCTCGACTTCAACAACATGGGTACATCAAATCCACGAGGCTTCCATTCGCACTTTGGTGTAAGTCAGAGTAAGATTGGATATGCGGTCTTGGCTGATGAAACCTAGATCTGGTCAATACGTTTTTCGGGCGACGGTCGCGAGATTGTAGCTGGAACTGGAGATAGCTCAGTATATGTCTATGACATTGAACGAAGGCAATCGGTCCTTCGCATACCAGGCCATCAGGATGATGTCAACGCAGTCTGTTTTGGCGACTCTCAATCACCACATATCCTTTACTCTGGATCCGACGATACAACGCTCAAGGTGTGGGACCGGAGAAGTATGGGAGATGGCCGAGAAGCTGGTGTTTTCTTTGGCCATACCGAAGGCCTGACGTATGTTGACAGCAAAGGAGATGGTCGATATGTACTCAGTAATGGAAAAGATCAAACTGCAAAGTTGTGGGATTTGAGAAAAATGGTGTCCAAAGAGAAGGCCGATACCATCGATCCGTACAGATATACGACGCGCTTTGAGTACCGATCCAACGGCTACGACTACGACGACTTCCGCCCACATCCGCACGATTGTTCGCTTGTCACTTTCCGCGGACACAAGGTCTTGAAAACACTGATTCGATGTCACTTTTCACCTCCTGGTAGTACCGACTCGCGATATGTGTACTCGGGTAGCTACGACGGCTCGGTGTACATTTGGAACATGGATGCTACGCTTGCTGGCAAGGTCAACGTGCTGAAAGCAACCAAGAATTCGCGACCGCGGGATCCAGATCTACTCGCTGGAACCTATGACTATTGGGGTCGGAATGAGGGCAAGTGGATGACATGTGTTCGTGATGCAAGCTGGCATCCCAATGCGCCCATGATTGCAGGTGGGTTTCTATGATTGTGATCGATTGGTGTGTGAGTTTTTGCTAACAAATATGTAGCGACATCTTGGAACGGCTGGGGTACCTCACAAGGAACGTGCACAGTTCACACGTGGAACGATGGTGTTGAGGATGATGAGGCAGAACCCAAGGTTGGCCGCCGTGTCAATGCACAACTACAGCATGACGAGCGGCTGTATAAGAGTCACGAGGGCCGGTCGAGAAGACATCCGGTTTGGTACGAGGACATGATGGATGATGATTGAGCGGACTGTATGATTTGCTTGCGCAGACCCCCCGTGCTTGCATGTCGTTCAGGTTGATGCATCTCTGTGCGTGTCATCTTGTCGATTTCGATTTCAACATGGGCGTCATTTCAACGGACTTTAAGGATGGCGTGACTGGAACTCTCATCTTCACATACTTTGGCTCCTTTGTATCAACCATGTCGAAAGCGATGTACGATCACCTCACGCACGTATCAAGGATGCAGACATTAGAAGTATAGTTTGCAAAATGTAAATGTGGATATAATCAAACTCCCGCTGACCCAATGTCGGTATTGTACAGCCCTATGCCATAGATATGTCATGCCCGATAGCCAAGCGTCCGAACTCGCAACGTGGCCTTCTCTGCCCTTAGTCGCTAAACACAACTATAAAATGGATACGGCAAACGAGTCGGTCGTATGGCCGAGGGAAAGTAAATGGATGCTCTTTGGTGTGAGGGGTGGTAATTTATGAGCCGCCGACGAGGATGTTGTTGACGGGAATGTGGATAAGCTTGACGACGTAGCCAATGACGCCTGTGAGGACGGGTCAGATGATTGCGACGTGAAAGGATGCTGTGGCGGGTGATGGTGTTACTGACCCATGATCAGGAAACCGATTCCGACGGCTTGCGATATCCTGATGAACTCCTTCTTGTCGGGCTCTGTAGTATGGTCAGTGGCCAATTGTGGTGAGGTTGAAGAGTCAGAGGGCCGTACTGGTGCAGCGGTTCATGAAGAGAGTACCCTCCTTGAGGAACTCAGCGGGCATACTGCGCCGTATTGTTAGTCCGTCATAAGCCCACGTTATATGTGCGCCGGGGCATTGCGTACTCGGCAAACTCCTTGATGTTTTCCATGGCGACTGATGTGCGATTGTGATACGAGAAGGGTTGTTCGAAAGGGTTGTTCGGTAGGATCAAAGTATCGTGGAAGGGACAAGTCACGACTTAATGGATGGAAGCTGGTAAATTGCCAGCCGGCGGACGACAGCAATCTGGCCTTGCGGAGAAAGCGAACAGGGGTTGGCGGGCTGCCAAGCACGCTACTGGCAGCGCTAGCGGCTCGAGCTATCGCATCCACGTCCTCGTCCCTCACGCCCATCCTCACTCGCGCCGACACTGCTCGAATCCGTCAAGTCTTGTCAGGTTTGTTGCCCAGGCCAACACTCACTACTACTGAACAGATTGCCCCCGATATCCCAGGCCCAACGGTTGCAGTCTGGCTCTTTGCATCGCCGCCACACATCGCGCGGAAGACCAAAAGGGAGCGCGCTGGGTTGCTGCACATACTAACTGAAGCTCACCCTTACTTTTGTTCATCTTTTGTTCTCATTATTTGCAGCGCACCGTCTTGCGCTGCGTCAATTCTCAAGGGCTTTGTACACTACAGCGGCGCTACAAGCACACTGTACTGGGGGCGGGCAAAGCAAGCGCAGGAGGCGGGCTGAGGCATTACACTACTTGACACTACCCTATCCTACATCTCTCTCACCATATCCTGTACCTTTTACATCTCCGCATCTGCCAGAGGCGATCGGATTATCCCTTCTTGCTCTGAACGGTCCTTCTAGACCTTGTCACTACGCCGACTGCGGCACTGTACGTATGGCCTTACTCTACGCTGTTTGTTTTCTTGTACCGCCATCGCCCGGGGACGCACTGCAGGCGCCTTATTTTCTTTGCAATACTCCCTTGTCTTATCATGCTGATTTGTATGCCAATCACAGAATTGCATGTACTTTGGCTATTGATACTAGCACATCGAGTACCTAAGAGCGAATCAAAAGAGAATACCGGAAACTACATCATCGCTTACTGCAGTTGACTTGACATATCACAGCAAACATGGCTGACGACGACAACTTCGACATCGACATCTACGGAGATGACTCGTACCAAGATTCGACCGCACAGCATGATACCACCGTAACCGACGCCAATGCCCCAAACGCAGATGCCAATGTAGCCAACGCAAACGACGCACAAGAGAACGCGGCTACCGAAATGGGAGATCAGACAACCAACCTCAAAGGTCCAGGTGAAGCAACCAACGGAAACGGCCACCACGACCAGAGCACACAACAAATAGCATCCACAGGAGGCGCATCCGGTCTCGATGTTCACAAGCAGGCACCTCAGCAGCAGGGCACCAAGCGAAAGCAAGGCGAGGACGATGATCGCCCCACCGATCCCGGAGCTACAGCCGCTTTGATGATCAACGACGTCAACTGGTGGATTAGCGAAGAGGATATTCGTGGATGGGCTAACCAGAGTGGTTGTGAAGACGAGCTCATTGAAGTCACCTTTAATGAGCACAAGGTCAATGGAAAGAGCAAAGGGTTGGTTTCCTGCGGATGTTAGAGCAACTTGTTACTGATATCTCTTGTAGTCAAGTTTTTACCCTACTAAACTCACCGCAAGCAGCTACTGCTCTCAAGCATCAAATTGAGACCTTGTTCAAAGACCAAGCCCATACTAAAAAACCGACCGCCATCTTCAGTCCCCCACATGTCAACCCGTTCAAGACGCTACCAAAGGACGTACCCGCACGAGACAAGGGCAGGAACGATCGTGCTTCATCTGGTAACTTTGGTGGCCAGGGTGGTGGCTTTAACAACAGGGGCGGGTATAACAACAATAACCGAGGAAACTTCAACAGAGGTGGCGGCATGGGCTACCAGAACAATCGCAATTTCTCGCCTGCTGGTGGCAACATGGGAGGTAATATGGGAGGCTATGGCACACAAGCTCCGATGAACAACTTTGGCAACCCCATGGGGGGCATGAACAACTTTGGAGGTAACTTCAACCGCGGCGGCATGATGGGTGGTAACATGCGGGGTGGCATGGGCAACCGTGGCCGTGGCGGCAACATGGGCATGAACGCCATGGGCGGAGCTCCTATGGGTGGTATGAACATGCCAATGGGCGGCAACATGATGGGCATGGGTACCAATATGATGGGTATGGGCGGTGGCAACATGGGAATGATGGGAGGAATGGGTATGTTGAGACACTCTCATATTAGTGACTTGACTCCACGCTTTTTATCTCATGTCTTGAACACTGGCTAACGCTATTTTTGCAGGAGGTGGCTTTGGCGCCAACCCAGGCTTTAATCCAGGATTCTTCCAAGGCCAGGGCGGTAACGATGGCAGCTGGCAAAACCCACACGGCGCTAAGAGGCCACGTCCTGAGTAGTTCCTAACATGGAACTTTTACATTCCGCGCCTTCGGCCTTTCTATGGGATCTGCATACATACATATGGCGAGACCCACTTTCAAACGACGCGTTGATCTATAACGCATATCGACTTGCATGCATACACGAGACGAAACGAAGCCAACCGTTTTCGGGATGTCAACAATCGTCTCCTTACTGGCACGAAGACATTTGATGTTCCCGACTCATCTTTTTCTGGGTTCCTCAATAGCATACGTCAAGGAATGGCCTTTTCTTCCTCTTGTATCGCTTTTTTCTGAGTTCCTTGCAAGCGGTGCACGCAACAAAATGGCGACATATTTTCACAGTTCTGTTCGAATAATCATCTCGGCGTTTTTTGGTGGGGGTTTGGCAGGTCCTTTTTTCTTCGTCAAAGAATTGATTCTTTTTCTTTCTTCATCTATGTCCTTGGTAGCTTTTTCTTTATTTTCCTCCGTCTGGTTACTTAGTCTTGCATACTAGGTATTTTTTTAGCACGGTGTCATGGTGTTTGTTCGCTCTCTGGAAAGCGACATAACATAAACTCTAGCATAGGTTTACAAAGACAAGATATTGTAACGTGCGGGATCAGTAAGCTGGGCAGATCAGTAAGCTGGGCACCCTACCAAGCTTAACGCGACTCTCTGTGCAATTGAGCCACAACAACGTAATAAAATAAAATAAAATTAAGAGGTATGATTCTTTAGATAGCTCTGCATGAAGTCCGAGTATGCCCTTGAATGTGGCACTTTGTACACGTCGGCGGCGCGCGCTGACGTCGCTCACCAGCCTGGCTCTGGCTGGCCTCCATGACCATCCTCTCTGCCTCTACAGCAAGCTGCTGAGCCCGCTGTACCTGGAGTACCCCACCAGTAGCAATATATTGACGCTGCTGACTCTGCTTTTGCTGTTGACGCTGGACTTCTGCACGTAGCTTCTTATTCTCCTCT